AGCAGTAGAGACAAACCCTTCTAACTTGTCATCTCGGTTTGGGAAATTTCTGGAGCCCTAATGTGGCTGTTTTTTTTTTAAATTTTCTTCCCCTGTTTTGTCTAGTTTTAGGATTATTTGGGGAGTGGATGAATTACTGACTTCTTTGCATTGCTGTAGCTAGAAGCCCCATTTTTCAGCCTTTTTTGACACTGATCTGCCAAGACTAACAATAAATATAAAATTATATAATTGTCCCAATTCAGTAAATCTCCTTGGGAGCAATTGTATACCAAGAAAAAACCCAAAACCAAACAAGCTGCAAAATATGCACATGATAGTCATGGTGTTGTTTGTGCTAATGACAAGTTAGAAATAACATAGTCTCAGATTTGGAAAGTGGTTGAATAAATTATAGTAGTAACATTATAAAATTCCACATGGGCTTTAAACATGAGTCTGCATAGACTCTAGCAATACACATCTTCAGTTTGTTTGTGCTATTTACAAGTATGTGTTTATTTATTCTGAAAAGATATGAAGTGGAGGCTGGAGGTACAACTCACTTGCCCACCCTGTGTTGCATTCAAGCTTCAGTACCAAAAAATAAAATAACTAAGGGGACAACTGCATTTTGTTAAGTCTCTAATTTAAAATTAAATTTAAACTATGCAGTTTAATTAACAACAATCATAACAGAATTCCTTTTTTTAAAAAAATGTGATAGAAACACCATTCAAGCAATCATAAGTCTTGGCAGTCTTTATTTTAATCCATAATTAGTAAGGAAACTTTATCAAGTTCTTATGTATAAACATCCAAATACCTCGAGTTGGCATTTAGAGATATAAAAGTTGGTATTTGCCCCTCCAGGTATGGATGCATAAAAAACTAAGTGTGATGGTTGGAAGCACATGATGCAGAGGGTGAAGATCTCTTTGGGGGTGGAGTGGCTCATTCATTCAACCACACGGACAGCGCATGGACGTTCCAGGCATGTTCTGTTGTGGGAGGAACATGCCGAATAGACAAAGATTTTTGCTGTTACCAGGCTCACATTCTAGCATGGGAAGATCCCTAACAAACAAGCAAATCTATACTGTAAGGTCAACAAGTGCTAGCTATTATGAAGAGTCATAAAGTGGGCAGCGGGTTGAAAAGAGAGCGAGAGAGCAGAGTGGGCAGGAGTAAACAGTTTCAGGTACGTTTATCAGAAAAGATAGTGCTGGGAGTAGAATACTTCAGCAGAGACCTGAATCGTGCAAAGCGTGAGCCCAGGAGAGAAAGTGGAGGAGGAGCTCTAAGTGGACGACACGGCTCGCCTGAAGGTACCAGTGGGAGTGAGCTGGCAAACCCCAAACAGCAGATGCCAGCAATGATTGGACAGTTGTGAGCCAGAGTAGAGAGGTGGGAGAGGAGTCAAGCAAAGAAAGTGGGTGCAGTGCTGTGGGGGATCCACTGTGACCACTGACTGTTCTAGCTAGGGCTGCATTGTCATCGGATTCAGGCTTTCTGATCACTGGCTTTGTGAGAAATGGATTGGATAGAGATAAGCGGGGAGCCATGGTCAGTTTGGAAGTCTATTAACAAGGGAAACTAAGCTGCTGTCACAAACAACTAAAACTGTAGTGTCTCAGATACAATAGAAAGTCATTTCACACTTGCATTAAAAGTTCTGAGTACAGAGGAATCTATCTCTCATCCATGCAGGCCTTCTGTGAATTTGATTTTGTGATTCCCCAGGACTTTGCCAAAGGCAATGTCAAGGCTAAGTGACCACATTCAGATTTCAGGAAAGGAGGGGGAAATGGAGCCGAGAAGAGGCACACAGTCTCCCTAAAACTTTGGCCCAAAAGTGTCACTCACCATGTCTATTCATGTTCTTTTGGTGAGAATTTCATCACCTGGCCATACCTGCCTTCAGGCAACCTGGGAAATGTACTGTAGATGTGACATCTGCTACAGGAGCCCGATGCAGTAAACAGAGGACAAAAGTGGCCTGGACAAGGATGGAGCAGTAGGGCGGAGAGCGGTGATCATATTCATGATGTATCTTGATGATGGAATGTGCAGCATTCATAAACAGAATTGCGTAGGCGGATCTTAGATGTGCACATGAATAGGACTATTATTTACTGAAATGAAAAAGACTCAAAGAGAATGGATTTCTATTTTAGTCATATTAAGTTTGAGATATTTATTAGCCAACTAAGGTGAGACACTGAGTAGACAAATGGATATTCAAATCTTTAGTTCAAGGAAACTAAAGGCGTGCCTGTAATCCCAGCTACTCAGGAAGCTGAGGCAGGGGTATCATAAATTCATAACCAGTCTGGGCAACCTCAATGAGACCTGGCTCAAAACCACGATAACAACAGGCAGAAAGAGGAAGGGAAGGGGGAGAGGGGGAAGAGGAGCAGGGCGAGCAGGAGGAGCAGGAGGAGAAGAGGCTGGGGCCAGCTCAGAGGTAGAGCGGCTCGGATTCAACCTTCACGGACACACAAGATGGCAGCAACAGACACACAGTTGTTTCCTTCTTGAAACACTTTCTTCTCCACAATGCCTCGCTCTCCTGTTCGGAGATCAAAGCCTCCACTCGTGACTGTGGGAGGGATACTTCATATTTACACCATAACAGGAAGGATTCAGGAAGGGACAGAACAATTGACGGTAGGAGAGAAAACTCCTTGAATAGACCAAGGGGAATGGAGTCCAGGTCACGAACGGAGGGACCTGAGATGATGAGAGGGCATGAAAATTCTCTTGGTTACATCAGAGGGTAGGAGAAAGCGTTAACTAAGTAGAAGGCTGCTGAGGAAAACTGGAATGTGGAAGCAAAGGTATATGCGAGGGCACACTGGTGCATGTGTTGTGCACTTTTGAATGTGTATCGGTCAGTTTTCCATCAATATAACAAATGCCTAACCAACTTACAGAAAGAAAAGTTTCCTTCTCCCTCACAATTGAAGGGTTCAGTCCATGGTTAGTTGGTCCTATTGTTTAGGGACCCTCAGCAAAGTGGTTCATTGTGTGAGGAGTGCACAGTAGAGCAGAACCTCCCTCCCTATGACTAGGAAACAGCAGAGACACAGAGGAAGGACGAGGGTCCCACAGCCCCTTCAAGGCCATGTCCCTAATAATGAAAAGACCTCTCACTAGGTCCCACCTACTGAAGCTTCCGCCATATCCCTGCAACAATGCCTTGGCCACGTTGGCCTCTGGGGACACTTAAGATCTAAACTGTAGCAGGACTTAAACTGGATGAGAAATTAGTGAAAACAGAAGATAGATGATAGAAAACAAAAACATTCTAGGTCTCCTTTGGGCCACATATTGTGGGAGTGAAAGACAGCCAAGCAAAAATGCTGTATCTTTTTTTAAAAAGAGGTAATGGCCGAGGGTAGGTTACTTAAAGTCATGATTGAAGAACTATGAGGTTACTGGCACCGAGAAACCTCAAGTGTGACTTGGGAAAGGAGGAGGAGAGCCCAGCGGCAGAGCATTCGCCTCGTGTGCTTGAAGGCTCTGCATTTGATCCCTAGCACGCACGCACATCCAGGGCTGGAGGGAGGAGGGAGAGATACGGATTGCTGGAGCGAGGATTTCAAGGAACTGAGACAGAGGAAGGCATGGAAATTTGTAGAAATCACCACGCGGCCATCTAGAATGATAACGGAGTGGAGAAGAGAGAGAAGGCGAGTCTGGAGCTGAGATCTTTAACAAAATGAGGGAGAGATGACCAGGAAGTTAATAGTAGGAGCTAGGTCATGGCAGGCGCTTCAGAGCACTTAGTCAGAAATTCAGTAACCAAAGAGGACAGAGGAGTTGGGCCAGGAATATAAAGTGAATTCTAGCTTCGGGCCAAACCCTAGGCTCATGACTGATGTGGGCTCTGTGCCAGGAAAGGGTGGACATAAATAAATGTGCAACTACAAGTACTAGTTTTTTGAAGGAAAAGGGATGGGTCATAAGGAAATATTCATGGTATGAGGTAATGAACTTAGATTTCTGAGAGGAAGTGAAAATGAGCTGAGGGATGAATAAAAGTTAGACAAGCAGAGGGCGTGGATTCCAGCTGGATTCCAAGAACCAACCGATCAAAAGCAACGGAGGTAGAGAAGACTGGAGTGTGAGACAGGAGGGGGACACATAGCAAAAAGGAAAGGACTTGGCAGATTCAAGGCAACTTGGCTGAAGCAGGAATTTGGTACTGGAGAAGAATGAGCTAGGGAGGTGTCAACCACATTTTCTGAGCAAAAGCTACAAAGGTTTAGTGTTGACATGAAGTGTAAACATATAGCGAGGTTAACCCAATGTATCATTTGTTTTTATCACCTTGTGGTGTTGGGGGGGGTAAGACCACGAGCCATACTGTTTAACAGTCTGTGCGCATTTTCAGGGTTAAGCTGAGCTTTCCTGCAATTAGGAGAAAACTGGGAAGGCAGAGCAAAATAAAACATGACACGCTTCTGAGTTCCAATGTTCCTGACATCCAGGGAGAACAAGGCAGGACCACTGTGTAGTTAAGACCAGGTCCTTTCTCTCTCGTTCCCCTCAGCTGCCAGAGGAAGGGATCAGAAGAGCAGTTCTGCTTCTCTGTCTCCTTCATTAACTTGCAGTCTACACATGAGACCAGGCTACTCTGAGCTGACTTTCAGATTCAGATGGCAGCAACTATCCTGCAGTAGACAAAGCCAGCCTGGTCCATCACCCCAGGACTCACCTGCAGCCAAGAACAGTAGCCGTTCATCTGGGAGAGGAGTGATCTGAACTCCGCGATCCCTCAGAGGACAGATCTGGATGGATGTGTGGTCAGCTTCCATCTCTGCCCTCTTCTCAGATCCTTGCTGTAGGAGGCCATCCACCTTTCTTTCATCTTTCTCTAAGGGCAATTGCCAGGAGTTGTCTTTAGGCTGAATTACAAAATTAAGTAAATGCAGCTCATAGGCATTTGCTTATGAAAATAGAACAGAGTTTGATAGCAAATGGGTAACCAGGGATTTGGCTAATTTATTTTTTAGATTTCTTCCTGAAGTCCAAACTCCAGGAACAAGAGATTCAGAGAAGATCAACTTCTTTCTACACCCACATGTGTAACCCCTGGGTCTCCCTGCTAGGGGTGAGTAACTTCACCGTGATCCCAATTGTCCTGGAGAAGTAATTCAGGAGGAGCCAAGTGCGCCTTGGGGTGGGGGTTTAAGAGCAATGTGATTTAATTCCCTACTGCATCAGAATTTAGATGAGACAACATGTGGTGAGATTTACATTTAATGAACCACTTATTTTAATCCAATGTTTACTTTTTTTGAAAATGGACTGTATCTGATTACCCTTGTGTTAGGTGAGTTTTATACTAATTTGTTCTTGTAGGGAGGAATGGGACAAGGAGCTAGGATACAAGATCTGATTATTGATAGTTTAAAAAAAGATTAAGGTAAAAGAGGACATAACAACACAGGTCAGAACAGAACAATTTAAGCAACATAGTGTTTCACCACAAGACAATCCAACATAACAATAGCTACCATAGTGTCTCTTTCCTTGAAATATTTGAGTATACCTTCATATACTATAGTATCAAACATAACAAGACAGTGTAAAGCCATTCAAGAGAATAAAACTATTACAGGGTATTCAAAACCAACTAACAGAAAATGAACAATGGTTTCTATATTATCTCCTTGTCTATAAAAAATTTTGTTTATACTATCACATATAATAAAATCCAGTAAGATACAACATGATAAAACCAATGGAGACAGAAGAACAAAAGCTTGGTGGGACTTCAAAACAAGATGATATTAAATCTTCACTAGCTATTAATGATTATTGATAGTTTTGATTAAAGTTTTCCAGAAGGTCTTCCAAATATCTGCTTAAATGAGGTTTCTGAACTATGAGTGAACTTTAGTTATTCATACTTTTACAGAGATCCAAAGCTGATGAGAGAGGCTGTTCTCTCTAAGGGCAGAGCTTGGGTTTCACTTGCATCGTGGAGCATCATTAGACCCTTTCTCCCCTTTCCACAGGCGGCTGGGTCCCTTCTCATCATGCTTGTGACCCAGTGGATTTACACCCTCGTTAGCATGAGTGCAGCCGCTGTCTTGTATTTCTACATTGGCCGGGCCAGTCCGGGGCTCCACCTTGGTAAGTGGCAGTGCCATTTTTTCCCATTAGCGTTTATGGGGGAAGAAACATGTTTTGAATATCTATTAAAATGACTCAGGTGTGAATGCCATTTTCAGGGAGCTTACGGTATAGGAGGAAAAACATTGTACCTAAATGAAATAAGTGAAAAATTTTTTTAAATTGTGAGATGTATAAGATTTGGCTGTAGAAGTAGAATGAATGAACCAATACCAATAAAAGAACCAATATCATACAAACCCAGTATAATGTAAAAGCTCAAATAAGATAAAGTTTAATGAAAGATTATTCAAATTAAAATAAGGCAGAAAAAAGAAAAAATAATAAAGGCTATTTGACATAAAAATATAAAAAATAAGACAGTGTATACCTACTAACCATATCAATTATCACATTAAATACAGATTATCCAAACAGCTCGATTAAATGGCAAAAACTGTCAATTGAATAAAAAAGTAGGAATCAAGTGTGCTTAAAAGAAATAAAGACACAAATAGGTTAACAGTAAAAAGATTATGCTTTTCTTTTTCTTTCTTCCTTTTTTTGTTGTTGTTGGTAGGATTAGCTAAGGGTTTGTGTATTTTGTTTACTCTTTCAAAGAATCAGCTCTTGGGTAGGAAGTAAGAAGAAATTCAAATAATTCCCCAAATTATCTGTTCCATTGTTTCAAAAGTATTTTAAGATAAATACTAATTTATTTCATTTATGCTACTAGTTTCTTTTGCTCATTAAAAATAAAGTTTTGTCCTTTCATTTGTTTCTTCTTTCCAAGGAGGAATTTTTTGTCTATGACTTGTACTCTGAGCCACATTTTGGCCATTCTTTTAGGATACAGTATATTAAGCAGTTATTCTTCAATTATTTTGTTATGAAATTTTATTTTTTTATAGAAGAGTTTTTTATATTTTCTTTATTAATCTCTGCTTGTATTGCATTAAAATAAATTCTGTTAAAGATTAAAAGGATATAAAAAGGTATACCAGGACAACACTAATCAAAAGAAAGCTACAGTGACTATATTAACATCAAAGATTTCGGAGATAAGGATATTACCAAAAAGAAAGAAGATCATTTCATAAAGAAGAAGGAAAAAATTCCTCAAGAGTACATAAAAACTAACATTTATGCAGTTTAAAATGGAGTTTTAAATTATATGAAACAAAATCTTGATAAAGAATGCAAGAAGAAATAGAAAAATACACAATCATAGAGATTTCAATCTCTCTCTCTAATAGATACACTAGTGGTAAAATCAGCAAAACTATGGAATATTTGAATAGCACCATCAACAAACCTGATTGACATTTATCAGACCCTTTACGGGGCTGGGAAGGTAGCTCAAAGCTGCTCCCTGCTCGAAAGGAGGAGAGAGAAACATAGAACACTCCGCCCGACAACACAGAATGCACATCCTTTTTGAATTATATATAGAGCATTTACCAGGATAGACCATATTCCAGAAGATAAACTATATTTTAACAAATTAACAGCTATTCAAATCATTCTAAAAATAAAGTATTTTTCTGACCAAAGAAGGAAGTAATCAGAAATAAATTTCAGACAGATGTGAGAAAATTCCTAAGTATTTAGAAAATAACATTAAATAACCAATATTAAACAACTCTAAATAAGCTACAGAAACCGATTCATGGTTCAAGGAAGAAAGCAGAAGTAAAATTACAAAGTGATTTGAACTGAAAGAGAAGGCAAATATTAAAACTGAGCATGTAGCTAATTATGTAATGGAAATTCATTTATTAGAAAATGCCTATGTTAGGAAAAAAGGAAGTTCCCAAACCAGTGACCACAGCTTCCAATTTAAGAAACTAAAAAAAAGATCACATTAAGCCCAAAGCAAGAAGAAAAACAATAATAATGAAACTCTTAGTAGAAACCAATTAAATATGAAAATAGAGAATGACAATGAGCAAAAAACTGATTAGGTCATAAGATCTTTAAAGCTGGTAAGCTTCTAGCCAGACTGGGTATAGATTAAATAAGAAAAGGCACAAAATACCAATATAGGGAATGAGAGAGATGATCAAGAAATTCTACAGATATTAAGAGGAATATCATGAATGGCTTTGTGCCAATCAATGTGATGACTTAGGTGAATTGGGCAAGTTCCTTGAAAGATATAAATCATCGGAATTTACTCAAGAAGAAATAAATGCAAGACTGTTCTAGTCATCTATTAAAGTAACTAAATTGGTTACAGAAAACTTCTCAATGAAAAAGTTTGGGCCCAAATGACTTCACTGATTAATTCTACCAAATATTTAAGGAAAAATATTACCAATTCTGTATGAGCTCCTTGGAAAGCTACATACCAACATACTTCATGAAAGCCTTTCTTTTGTTGAACTTAGGATTTGAACCCAAAGCCTTGCTCATGCTAAGCAAGTGCTCTGTTACTGATATCCCTTGCTGTCACAGATGTAAAAATTCTTGACATTTTAACAAATCTTAATACAACAATATGTAAATAGGATAATGATCATGTAGGTTTATCCCAGGAATACAGGGCCGACTTGACATTTGAAATCAATCAGTATAATGTACCAATGAGAAAATGCATCTAGCATTTTGTTTTACTTTATATCTATCTATATCTGTATCTATATTCTATCTGGCTATTAAAATATAAACAAATCTGCAGTGGCAGCAGATGAATGCTTTTGGGATTGGTTGACAGGAAATGCATGGGAGGGAGTCCTTAGGAAGTGATTTGAAGAGACCTTTGGAGGTGACAGCTGTGTTAATTATTTGCTTGTGTGACGGTTCCACAGTGCCTGTGGTATACGTACATACATGCATCAACACAGAGCAAACTGTGCATTTTAAATACATCTAGCTTGTTTGAAGACTGTGTCTGGGATTCGGTTTAATCCCAGGTGTGGTGAAGCACACAGACCTGGACAGGACTGCTGTATAGGGAATTTGTACCCACCTATCTCTGAACGCCAGCTGGGGTCGCATGGGAAGGACCAGGGTTAGTCAGGGGCAGAGAAGGGAGAGGAGAGAACATGGCCCAGACTCTTCATTGAGGTTTTTACAAGAAGGACCTGGAAAGTCAGTGTAGGTTCACTAAGTTAATGAGGGATAGTGTGAATAATTGTGGCAGATTCTAAACTCTCGTTATTTAGTCTCGTGTGATTAGGCCAGGGAGAATAGTGACTTGGTATGTAAGAGTTTGATGAAAGATACAGCTAGAGGTAAGAGTTGGTTTATTTGTTTGCCAAAGACATTATACATTGTGTGTGCTGAATCTAGGAATTAGCTGGACTCTCTAGAATCAAGGTCCAAAATGCCAGAGCATAAAGAATACAAAAAAGGGAAAAATACACAATACCTAATTTTCTGCTGCTGTAACATAATCCTGAAGACTAGGTAATTTGTGAACAACATACATGTATTGGCTAACAATTTTGGGATCTGGGAAATCCAGGTGGAGAGGTGTATCTGGTGAAGCCTTTTTGCTATATAAAATGGCATCATCACACTGAATGAAGGGGGAGCGGAGGGGAGCGGAGGGGAGCGGAGGGGAGCAGAGGGGAGGGTTGGGAAGGCAGGAAGCTGAACTCACCTTTTACCAGGATCCCGCTCTGGACATAGCTAACCTACTCTGGGAGGATGGTACTGAGTTTGAAAACCTGGCTTCTCCACACTATTACCCTGTGATTAAGTTCCCAGCCATCCAACTTTGGGAGACACAGAAACCCTAGCACATAGTTTATTATACATTTCCCCTCAATAATAAAGCTGTCTAAAAAACTTTCTCTTCAGAAAATTCTCTGTTGTTCCAATTTAAAATAATTAATTTCAAGTTCTCGCTAAATCAGGTAGAACAGAATGATCTGGACAAATGGATTTTTTAAATTCTTAGGAGTATTCCATCCGGTGGGGATCTCTGGGTGGCTCTGGGTGGTCCTCCCCCTCCGTCCTTACCCTCACTTCAGTGAATAATTGAGAAGTGGGGCTCTTAGTGAGAAATGGAGGCATCACGGCTGCAACAGGGCAAAGTGAGTTTATTTAGGGTGCAGCAAATACAGAGAAAGCAGAAGAGAAACTATCTTAGCAGCGGAGAGATGCTGCAAGATAACGGGCCACCGCTCAGATGGCCCTGAACATGAGGTGCACTTCACTGTGAACGCTTCTGAAATAAAAAAGAATAGTTTGATCTTAAGAAATTTAAGTATTTCCCAGAAATCAAATCATGGAAAGTACAAAATCAAATTTCAGACCAAAAATTGACCTAAAATTTAGGTAAGTTAGAAATGAAATGACTACTTATGAGTAGGATCTGTTAATGAAATATTTGTCTTACTTTCCGACCTCTAACAGACTATATACCAATTCTCTAAATGTATTAGGAATCTTTTCTTTGCAATTACAGATACTGGTATAAATCTAAAGTTTGTGCTGTTATTTATTTATTTATTTATTTATTTTTGTAGTACTCGGGATCAAACTCATGACCTTGCGCTTGCCAGGCAGGCACTTATGCCACTGAGCTAAATCCCCAGCCCAGTTTGTGCTGTTTTAACCTTAAGAACCCTAAATGATATGGAGTAAACATTAAATCAGCTGCATAGTATTGACATTAACCTAAAATTCTAGGGTAAGTTCTTAAAATAATGCTAACTCCCTGCTCACATGCTGAACATGATGTAACCAGTGTCACTGGTACATCTACATATCTGTAGCTAATCTTAGAAAGGAATTTTCTAGCCAGGTATGGTGGCTCAGCCCTATAATCCCAGCACTGGGATAGCTAAGGCAGGAGGATGGCCATGAGTTCAAGGCCAGCCTGGGTTACATAGTAAGACCCTGCTCAAAAAAGATAAAAATAAAAGTGTTTTCTAAAATTGTATTTGATTTTTTTAAATTGCATATAATTTATTACATGAAGATTTTTTGTTATTTTTTTTCTTTTGTAAATCCACACTGGAAACTGAATTTTTAAAAGAAAGATTCAAAAAGTCTATTCAAATCAATATGCATATTAAGATTGTTTGATCACTGTCAATAACAGTCTCACTTCAGACTTCAACACTAATATTCCTATATGTTGAACTATTTTGATTGACTTAGCACCAATGAAAACTTCTTAAGTGTCAGATTCTGTGAGGGTTACAAGGTTGAAAAGGACATGTTCCATATTCTTAAAGAGTACTGCCCAGTGGGGAATTTGACAGCATGGATTTAATACATATCAGTATGAATCTATGAGTAAATATTATCAAAAATTTTTTGACTTAAGACAGAAGTCCTACTAGCACTTTAGAGCACTTCATTCAATTTCTTTCTCAGGATTTTTGGTATTAGAAATAAACATTTGGAGATTACACAGGGGTACAAAGTCTTTAATAGTCTTTAACAGGCTGTTGTTGGGGCATATTCAAGGAATGGTGGTTCAGTCAGAGTGAAAAAGGAAATATATTTGCCCTTATTCTGCATGTGTGAGCATGTGCCTGTGTGTGCGTGCCAGCGTGGGTTGAAGCTGTACATTGACTCCGCTGCATCTGGGATTCTGGACGCCCATGTGCAGTCTTCATAAAGATTTATGTCTCTCCTTCATGCAGGATCAGCCTCCAACTTCAGCTTTTTCCGATGGATGAGGTCTCTTCTGATTCCCTCCTGCAGGTCTGTGCCAATTTTGGGTCATGGTAAGAGAGTGAATGGGTGTCCTAGAGTCCCGGATAATATGGAAGGGGCCTCATTCTTGGCCGGGCTTCCGCCTGAACTGTGCTGTGGAAGCTGATGGCCGAGAACCTTAGGAGGCTCCCATTCTGCTCCTCACTGCCTGCCTCCAGCCCTGGCTGCAGCTCATCAGCATCTTCCTCTGGCTCCTGTTTTCTGGTGGTCCTATCCACAGTCATATGAACAGCGCTCTGTCTAGACCCCGGTTGCTGAGGTGTAAGTCAACAGGGCTACTCCCAGTAGCTCTCGGTCTAAGACTCATTAGCATCAAGACCTAATCACACACTAGGTTAAAGCCAAGGAAATGTGAAGCGAGGGGTCAAATCCAAAGTCAGAGGTAGTTGGCATCATGCACTAGCCACAGCTCAGAGGCCAAACACAGAAATAAAGTGAGATACTGGAACACGACAGTGGGGCCTGCAGGCTGGGACACACAGGAGAGGAAAAGCCTCATCCAGGAGGTCACGTTCCGTGAGGACTTCATCTTTTCCCCTTTACTCTGCTCTCAGAGCACCAATGCTTCCTCATCCTTCAAGGCCTGAAGGCTCTGGCAAATTCCTCCCTTCATTCTCCACCTTTTAATACCTTTAATAAGGAGCAAGAGCTGTGTGCTGGACAAATCCCGGCAGAAGCCATGCAAGTGTTTATTTGGTTCATTTTGTTAGCTTGCTTTTGGAACTCTAGATGTCTGGTTTGCACTTTCCAATATCTCTACTTTTCTTGCCCAAATATTGCAAATGAGTTATGGAACCCTTTTCCATTGAGCCCAGGTGCAAGTTTTTATTGCGGGAAAATGCACACGACGTATATTTCACTGGTACCAGGAATCAAACTCACGACCTCGCACTTGCAAGGCAGGCACTTATGCCACTGAACTAAAGCCCCAGCCCTTGTCTTAACCATGCTTAAGTATACGGTCAGTGGTATTAAGCACAATCACATTCATACAGACATCATCCCCACCCATATTCCCAAACTGAAACTCCACACTATGAAGGAGTAGCTTCTTGTTCATCAGAATCCTTTTTAGGACAGCTCTTTGTGATTACCGCCAGGATGCTCAAATTGCACAAGAAATGAAACCTTGATGCTAGAACTCAGGATGATGAGGAAAAGGAAGCAGGGTTCTAGAAAACCACCAGGAGACTCAGGGTTCCGAGGGTCCAGGGATGAGGCATGGAGTGTGGGTGGAGAACTTTCTGTCATTTGCTTCTGTTGCTGGACTAGATGTCCTGTGCGGAGCTGCAGGAAGAATGCACGGCCTCCTCACCTCTCACCTAGGTATGTTGTGACTCAAATCACAGCATACCCAGGCAGATCTCTTTTGCCCAACAACCTAGTCCTGAGGGAAAGTAGAATTTAATTGGAAACAGTTCTGAGGAGAAATGCCTACAGATTCTTAAACTGCAAACAACATGTGGGTGATCCTTTGAGGTGTGGTCTGATTTACAAGAATAATTTTGTCACATCCAGTTTTGAAGCTTAAGGATGCTTTTGGGAGGTCACTGCTCTTGGTTGCACTCTGAATTCCTGGGACTCTACCATGAGGTCACTGCAGCATGTGTAGAAGGCAGAATGTATTAGGAGGAGCTTGTATGGGACAGGCCTTGGGTTTGAGAAGACCTCAGTGCCCACCCCTGGAAGCCCCATGTCAGGCTGTAGCTGACAAAGCACGTGGAAGGCGCAGAGTCAACAGCAAGCTCACTGGACCTCCCCAGGGTAGTGTTCTGTGATGGCTACAAAGAGGGAGAAAGCACCAAGAAATGGCCACTCTTTTTAAAAAATAGAAATCGGTAGTTGTGTTTTCTGCTTTGTTGTTTTGAGGGGATTTTCCCTCAACCAAACTCTGAACTTCCTTTAGAACTGGAAAGGAATGCTAAAGCAGTCAAATGTGTATAAGCAGACTGTGCCCACCGCTACAACTCAGTCTTGATGTGATGTTAGCCCTCACCGTAAGGAGATTTTCGTTCCTGAAGCTCTAATAACAGTCCACATGAGGATTCTTAAGCCATTCTAGACTAGAAAGTGAAGTACTGTCTGTCATCCTGACTGTGGAAGAACATAATGGTTTTACCTATTTTTTAAAAAATATTAGCTAACTGATAAAATGTACATGTGGTGATTGATTGGTATGACATTTTTGTCAGTTTTGAACCTTACTTTCTGAAGATTCAGCCTTTATTAGAAGTTAATTCAGTGGCGAATCTCAACTGATGTAATCTAGATATGTCCTCAGTAAATGTCTGTAATGCCCGAGTCATGTGATCCCAACTTCTGAAGCTGGACATTTTGCCGAGAGTCAGTTAGACTTCTGTTTAAATTCCATGGATGTATATTAGATTTCTACCTTTTTACAACTCTCAAGTGTGTTCCTGATGTAAGCACCTGAACCTTAGTATGGTGATAGTAGATTAGCTGATTCTTTTAGAGTAAGTTTCACTAGCAAGCCCTTGGTGAGGATTGGAGAACCCACCACAGACTGGAAGAGCTGGAAAGGACCACAGAAGATTAGAAAATGGGGGCACGTGGAGTTGTAAAGGCTTCCTGAAGCCGCTAAGCTGATGAGAGACAGAGCAGTGACGGCATCTGCCTTCTGTAGCTGCCCAGGCTGCCAGCTGAGTTTTCTCCCTCCATTCTGCCTCTGGTACTTTCTTCCTGTATCCCTAATGATTTTCTTCACGGTTAGTACTTTTACCCCTCTGCCGCTGGCTGAGTTCATCTTAGCTCTCTGGAAATCATTCCTCGGTCATCATTATCAAAAGGTTTCTCTCTCCCCTCTTCTCAGTTCTCCAGCTTCTTCATTCTGTTGTTTTATTTGACAAAAAGAGAAAAACAATAGAGCACAGCAATCTATATGCAACATGGCAATATAGTTAGGTAAAAACAAACTATCCTGCTATTTGTTTTTCATTTATGTCAGATATCCTTTATTATCTTGCTTTGTGGATTATCTCCCTTCAGGTGGGCACTGTTTCATGCTTTTCTATTTAAGAAGGGTCAACATGGCACCCTCTTCTTACTTTCATACATGGTGTTATGATTTATATTAGGACCGCCCCCCAGAGCCTCAATGTGATCATAGGAAGGGGACTGAGTGGTAGGAACGTATAGCTGACTTGCTGATAGGAGATGGGGTCTGGTCAGAAGAGGCGGTCACTGGATGTGTGGCCTGGAAAGGTTTATCTCCCCCGCTCCGGATCTTCCCTTGTTCTCTGCTTCCTGTTTCTGTGCTATGAGCAACTGTCCTCTGTCATGCTGCTTTGCCTTGTAGTCAGTCCACTATGGACTGAAACTTCTACAAACTGTGAGCCAAAATAAATTTCTCCTTCTTTAATTGTGAGTGTCAAGTATTAGTCTCCACAACCAGGAAACTGACTAAGATGCTCGGTAGTTTTCATACTTTGAGTTCACAAACTGCTGTACTCATAGCTCTCAACAGTTATATTTATAACATTTAGATTTACAACATTAACTACACACTAAACATTAGCACAGTTGACATTTGTGCAAATAACTTCTCTACCCAGAGTAGCCCAGGCTCCCCCATTCTGTCTCTGCTAGCTCTTTCTGTCTCACCATCGTCTGTGTTCTCTCCCCGAAGAAGCCTGCAGTCCCCCCAGGAGCAGATCATTTTGGCGCCATCCCTAGCGAGGGTTGACATGGCAATGACTCAGCTCACCCAAGAGAACGCGGACTTTGCCACTCGGGATCGCTACCACCACTCCTCCCTTGTGAGTCGGGAACAGCTGATGCCTCCATACTAGAAGCTGGGCTGGGACTGTGCTTTCTAGGAGCTGCCCTGGGCATGGTGGACCCACATCTCAGAACCGCTGAGGAGCTGCTTCTCCCCAACAAGAAACTCCACAGTGTGGCCTCCTACAGCCACTTTTGTGAGTGCGTTCTGGCCTGAAGCACCTTGTGTAACCCAAGGGAGGGTTTGGAGTAGGGGTGGCCTCTGGAACATGACACCCAACGTGCAGAGCTGCCCTGGAATTCCAGGATGATCAACAGAAGTGGAAACTCACACTCAATGGCTTGGTCTAAGCATCACAATAAAGCTTATTTTTAATTGTGTTTTATTAGTTTTTATGTTTTTTTTTTTAAATGCATAATGCACTCAGATGGTTTCAAGGCCTGAAGTGTAGTCACAGGAGAGTGCAAACTCTCCCTGCTATCCTGTTCCCCATCTGCTCCGTCCCATCCCCTGGTGCAGAGGTGACTGCTGATCTCATACAGGATTCCTGCACTTCTTTATAAATAGCCTAAGCAAATGAAGTGTGGATCCTTGTCACTCGCTTTTCATACACAAATAGCGTGTTTTGCACATATTCCACACCTTGCTTTTTCCCCTTAGCAATCTATCTTGGAGACATTTATATATCAATATTTATACAGTTTCCTCATTATTTTTCATTGCACGAATCTGCCACAATTTATTGCACCAGTTCCAGAGTGATGAGCATTTTCATTCTTTCTGCTCTTTTGCTATGATTGTCAGCTCTGCGGGGAAGAATCTTCTATATATGTACAGTCATAAAGCATATCCACAGGGTAATTCCCCAAAGTAAAACCATAGATTCCAGGGGTACATACCTTGGTAATTATTACTGCTTGGAGAAGTTATTTTTAATTAAAAAACTCAACATGCCATGAATGGCCTCACGGCAACTCATGCTCTCAAAAATATCTGTAGTGCTTGACTCCCTGAATACCTCTGCAGCTGTCATGTGGCATGGATGGCATAAGGGGACAAGACTCTTGGTTCCCCTATGAGCTCAGCCTGATACCCATCACAAACCTGAAGCACTGGGTACCAGCACCCACACAGGGAGCAAGGGACTGGATGATGGCTGCCCCCGTAAGTTCAGCACTGGCTCAGGGTCAGTGGTTTTGGCATCAAGCCATAAAAGGAAGGTCTCTGGGATCACCTCTGACCCTTTTCTCTATAGTATAGCTTCTCAGGAGTCAGTGTGTGAAGCCTCATCTGGGATGTGTGTTCAAAGTACAGACATCTGCATCTCACCCCAACACCTTTCAAAATTTGGGGTGGAGTCATGGACCTTAAGGCCCCTCAAGTGATTCAGTGCAAGTGGTCTTTGGATCATATTTTGAAATCACTGGTGTTTTGGACAGAAGACTCTAGAGGTGCGTGAGGGCTGGAAAGGTTATGGTGAGAGGGTAGCTAGATCTTAATCTTCTTTCCTGAACCACAAATTCTTGTTTATGATACTGTTCACAAAATTTAGATTTGGTTCAATACCAGATTTATGCTCATCATTAGAATTTAATGAAATATTTTCATTACAATTTTTTTTGTCTTTTTGAGACAGGATCTCACTATGCAGTTGAGACTGATCTTGAGCTCACTTTGTAGCACAGGCTGGTCTCAAACTCATAATCCTCTTGCCTCAGGCTCCCAAGTGCTGAGATTATAAGCGTGAGCCACCATGCCTGGCTCGTTCATTACAATTTAAAGAAGGCAAATTCTGAGTCCAGATCACTCAGACAGGGTGGCTTAAAAGCAACAGAAATTTATTGTCTTAGAGTTCTGGAGACTGAAATCTGAAATCAACCTCACTGCCCTGAAATCAAGAGGGCCACAAGGCTGAGTTCTCTCCAGTTGCTAGGGTGAGGGGGCCCTTCTGACTCAGAGGTTGCTACAAGTGTTCAGGTCCTGTGACCCCATCATCCCAATCTTCATATCCAACACCTTCAGATCTCTCTGTGTTCTTCCTCACATTGCCTTTTCTTTTGTGCATGTAAAGACTGTCTCTGTCTCTGTGTCTTAGTTACTTTTTCTAGTTGCTGAGACAGAATACCAAGTACTGAAAGTTAAAGGAGGAAACATTTATTTCGGTTCAGTTTGTAGAGGTTTCGGTGCATAGTCAGCTGGCCCCAAGGCAAGCTGGCAGGGCAGCGGGGCGCTGCAGAGAAGAAACGATCCACAGCGTATCAGACAGGAAGTAACAGCAGCAAGCAGCGTGGGTAGCAGCAGCAGCAGGCTCCCGCTCCTTTCTGGGCTGCCCACCTTTTAGTGGTGCCACACACACCCCGGCAGGCCTTCCCATTATCCACAACCCAGAACTATGCCGTACCAATCAGTGGACTAATTTAGTAATCGCATACTCTTATTTTTTTGAAAGAGTCTCGCTATGTAGTTTAGGCTGTCAATGCAATCCTCCTGCCTCAGCCTCCTGAGTGCTGGGATTACAGGCGTGTGGCACCACACCCAGCTCAGAAACCACATTCTCTTAAACCCAGCATCACATTACAGGGTCATTCAGACAGGTTTTATGCAGATAAAGGATGTTTTTAGAATGTCAATAAAGTCAGTCCATCTGGCAGTGAGAACAGCAGCACTTTCAGGGATAGACAGGAGGCAGACAGACTTATGACCTGAGTTTCACCAAGACGTTCAGAGCAGTAGCTGATGATATCTGCATGAATGAAAATTGTTTGGGGATTTCTGGGAACATGAGCGTTTCCTTTCTGGCTGTTATGATTTATGTCTAGATGGTCCCCCTAAAGCCTCATGCAGTCATGCAGGTGGGCTTCCAAAGTTTGTGACTAATTCATGGTCCAGTGCTGGGATCATAGGTGTGAATGTTACACCTGCTCTGGGGTGGGCAGCTTGTATACAATATAAGGAAGAGAAAGTCTTCTTGTGTTCCTCTCTTTTTGTTCTTGTTGCTTTTCCTGTCTTTGGTCACCATGAACTGTTGCCCTCCGTTATGTATCACTCTGCCTTGGACCCAGCCAAATATAGAATGAAACCTCCACAAATTTTGAGCTAAACAAGCTTTTCCTGCCTTAATTTTGAGTGTCAGATTGTTTGTCTCAGCAATGAGGGAAAAGTAACCATGACACTGACTAAATCATCTATTGATTGGTCCATCTGATGATCCACCCACCTACCCAACCACTCACCCACTGGCCTGTCCATTTACCTACTCATCCACTCATCTCTTGTTTCTACTCATTGATCTACCTGTCTGCACATCTGCTTATCTTTGGTTTCATCCACCATTCACCTATCTGTGGATGGAGCAAGTGGATGACATACCATTTTATAATCAGGTGCACCTGCACTAGGTACATCTCACCAACCTCAGAGATTTATTATGTAAAAAAAATGATCACAAGCCATTCAAATATAAATAAATTCCCCAGCCAGATTAGGCTGGGCACAGTCTAACCCCAGAGCCTTCTTGAATTCAAAACTGGGAACTAGAATAGTGGTCACTTTCTCTGCTGTCTCTGGGAATTATGCTAATAAGTCCTCTAACCAAAACAATTGGGTGAGAGTACAAACCATTCTAAGTCAAGGTAGAGTTGAGAGTCAAGATTCTACCTTGAAGATTCTTCTTTCTCTTCAGGTGGGTCAGGCGGCAGTTTGTTTATTAATACCAGGAAAAGATACAAAGCTTTTTCTAAGAGTTGAAGTAGAGAATGCAACTGAGGTCAACAGGTTGAAGCAAAACCCTTAAGGGAAATATAAAGGGAACCCTTCTTCCTCTTGAGTCTGAGAATTCACTTCCTGATCACTTGGATAAGGAGCTGTAGTCAAGAGACAGAGAGAATGACCAGGCTGCCTTGTTACCCAGTAACAGATGGACAGAGATCATGTGGTGATCACTTATTCATCAACTTTCAACGCAGGCTCCTGCCCCACAATGAACTTGGCTCAAGTACTAGCTAGTCAGATTGGCCTCCTTCATTTTAAAAGGTAAATCCTCATGATCCAAGCTCAGAAACCCTGCTTCAACTGTGCTCTTTCCCTGATGCGTACCTGGCTACTTCTATAATTTTTGCTATGCTGTAGACATAGGAAGGTGGGCAAACAGAGGGCTGGCTCCCCACTGCTGAGACGAGCTAAGTGGGGAACACTGGGGTAAAGCCTGGCCCTCTGCAGGGCAGAGGATGACAGTCACTTGAAGATCTCATAGTCCCCACTGTGCTGAGCACAGCCAGAAGTTGGAGAGTGGGCTTGGGGAACCATGCGGAGCCAGGCAGGAAAGGAACAAACCACACAGACCTGATGTGCTACTCTCTTACTGCTGCTCTGACAAATTAATACAGATGCAGTGATGCAAGACAGCACAAATGTGTCCTCTTATCATCCTAGCGGTCAGAAATCCAAAGCAGGCCTCACCAGGCCAAAACCAGGGAGTCCGCGGGCTAGTGTTCTTTCTGGAGTCTCTAAGAGAAGATTAGTGTCCTTGGAAAACCAACTTTTACCAGCTGTGTGTGTTCCCGGCCCACGGCCTCAACTATCCTCAGAGTTGGCGTCCAGCAATGACACTCCTTGCCATCCTGCTCCTCCATCGGGGCTCCTTCCTGTCTCCCTCTTCTGCTGTTAGGGACCCTTGTGATTCCATTGGGCCCACTTGGTATTTCAGCATAATCACATTTTAAAATCCTCAATTTAATCACATCTGCATGGTTCCCTTTGCCACGTCAATCACATATTCGTATGTTCTGGGAATTGGGATCCAGCCGTATTTGGAGGGCATCTTTCTGCCTACAACACCTGTTTCAGAAACCAAGTTACTGAGGAGACTGTGGAGCTCCACACAGTAAACAGTGGAGCTTGAATTCAAAGCATACAGCCATGCTACACGCTGTAGGGTGATCTGTCGAGGAGATAAGGAAGGAAGCCAGGAGACTTCTCAGAGGATGTAGAAAGACTTCCTGAACCGAGGAAACCAGGTAAACAAAAATAGATGAGGCAGACAGAGGGAACTGAACCAGAGAAATCAGGCTTACCTTCAACCTAATCACTCTTTTTCTGCGAGTACTTTTAAGTGCGCTCACTGAAGAGGGTAGTTAATGTTGCAGATACATGGGATTTGGGAAAGAAAATCTGTTTGAAACCTGGCTTCTAACCTCTGTGAAACTTAATTCCTTCTGTTATGGTTTGTGTCTAGATGTCCTCTGCCCCAAACCTCATGAGGTCATAGGGGGTGGGTTTCTGGAGGCAGTTAAATCTAGAGTTGATTGATTCTTAGTGCAATGCTGGGTTTGAGAGTGCTGGGATTAAGGCTGGGTGACTGACAGTCAGCCCACTGATTGTA